GTTTCAAAGGACTTTCTGTTGTTTATTGATGAGTCTTTCGAAACCTATGATTACAAACAGTTTATCAAGTTATATGAACAAAGTTCAAAGAAAACGAACCACAGATTTTACATACCCGATGGCCTCAGATGTCGACTTCGGGAGGAAGCTTGCCGTACTAATGTTATTAACGGTGATTAACCTAATTAAGTAGCTATGACGTATCTAATTTTCGTCGCGGCCGAAACAACTTCGTAAAAACAATTTTATTCTATTATTTTTAGGAAGAATCAAGCAAAATAACAATAACAAAAAAAAAGCTGCTCAAAGGGGGTTGCAACCCCCTCAACCCCTCCCCTGGATCCGCCTCTGGCGTCACCTAATCGCTGAATTTGACCTTGTTAAGGCCTATTTACACGGTACGACTTTGTCGCATGCGACAAGCTTACGACAGGCCTACGACATGACTTAGGACAATTTACACGCGCACGACATTTTCACCTACGACATGCCAAAATCGCGTGCAATTCCACTCATTTCGGCCGCGGTCATTGTTTCAATAATTTGCAAGAGAAGGAAAAGAACCTCTTCCTCGCTCCACAGTGATATCATATTCTCTGTTTCCTCATCTGAGAATGTATTTTTCGCTTCGGAAGCAGTCTTCGACTTTCCGGAGGCGACTTCCTCCGCCATTTTGACGCAAGAAAATTTCACCTTCCTCCCCTACACAGTAGAAATTTGTCACAAAATACGTCATTTTCTATCAATTTCAGCTACAATTGTCGCAGCGTTTTAAAACATGTTTTAAAATCCTACGACATTTTTCGTGAGTGCACAACAGTCGTAAGCGAGTGGTAGGTTTGATTTACACGATACAATTCGTGTCGTAGGCCTGTCGTAAGCTTGTCGCATGCGACAAAGTCGTACCGTGTAAATAGGCCTTTAGTATGCCTTCTTTTTCTAGACGTTTCAGCTCCTTCTCGGCCTAAGGTTTCATGGCGTATGGGACAGGCCTTGCTTTACAAAACTTTTGTTGACTGCCTTCCTTCAACGCGAGTTTTGCCTTGGCTGACTTAAACGTGCTGGTTTCACCCTTAAACACCTCACTAAAGTTGTCTATGAGTCTCTCTAATTTCTTCTGGGTGTCTTGTGTCGACTGTTCTTTTGAAATAGAGCAGATACTTTTCCAATCGAGTTGTATCTGGTGTAGCCAATCTCTTCCAAACAACGCCGGCCCTTGTATTTCCACTACATATAACGTTAAGTCCTTGACTAGGTTGTTGTGTTCCATGCGAACAAGTAGTTTGCCTTTTGGTGTTATCTTCTCTCCTGAGTAGGTTTTCAAAATAGTGGTAGTGTTTGGGAAGGCTTCCTTCTACGTCTCCAAGGGGAGTGTAGATATCCCTGAACCTGTGTCTAGCTCCACCTTCAGTGTGTGGCCATTAACTTTTGGTTTCACCTAGATGACGTCACCAACTACCCCATAGTTAACATTGTTGACTTCTAGGGATGCCACCAAGCTATCATCATCGCGCTCATCATCTATCTCGAACGAGTGAAGGTTGGGGTTCTCGTCCCTTTGTCTTCGGGTAGAGTTCTGACTCTTTCCTGAGCGGTATACTCTTTGGATATGGCCTAATTTCCCGCATTTTCGGCATGTTTCACTCCTGAAGTAACACTCGGCTGACCTATGAGTACTACCCCCATATCGATAACACTGAGATTTTGATTTGACATCGTCTTTCCCTTTAGGAACTCTTTCGCTATCCTTGTTTATTTTGTTGACTTCAGACTCTATTAATGTTACCCTGCAATTCTAGTGTGTCTTTTACTGCCGCTAAGGCAATTTCTGACTCTTTGGCCAATGACAAATCTGGCTCGGAGAGCAGCCGTTTCTGGATAAGTTCGTTGTGTAGTCCACACACTAGTCTATCTCTTAACGCGTCATTCAAGTTAGTTCCGAATTCACAATACAGCGACAATTTCTTTAATTCAGCAAGGTAAGAACTTACGGGTTCACCTTCGAATTGGTTCCTTTTGTGAAAGCGGAATCGTTTTGCTATGAGCAGTGGTCTCAGTAACAGATGCTTCTGTAGTGTACCCGGTGTCTGATAAATTGCTGTCACAGAGTTTTAGTGCTGGATATCCAAGATAGTGTAATTTGGGAGTCACTCCACAAAACTGTCTGAAAGTTGTGCTCCAAGTAGTGCTACAATCAATTCTAATAGTGGTAAAGTTTGCTGTTTCATGAGTGCTACTTTGCTTTTTGACATTAGGAATGTGCATTTTGTCCCTGAAGGGAAAACATGCACATTCTATGTTCACATTCTGTTATATTAAGTTCTATTAAAATTCTATTAGATTCACATTCTATTCAAGTTCCGTTAAATTCATATTCTATTAAAAGCCATATTCTATTAATAACATTTTTGAAGTAATGTCTAGGTATCAAAAGTAAGATCAGGTGTTTTTTAGTTCATGTAGCCATTTGATCCAGTTTTCCCAGTGATTTTGTGGAATATTGTTATCCCATGCAATGTTGGTTTCCCACAAATTCTGCATCACTATCTTGGCTTTTGCCGTCACTGATTCCAAGAATCCTAAAGGGTGAAACAGTTCAGAGGTCTTTTCAAAGTTGATTATGTCTAGTGTCTCATTCTAAATGGGTTTTAGTTGCAGTTTGTTTCTCAAGTCTTGTGCAATAAATATTTCCTGTGAACCTGTATCAATGAGGATGCATACTTGACATCACTTTGTTGGGCCACTTTCTGTAACAATAGCAGTTTTCAGTAGTGTGTTTGTGCGCATGGTAGCTGTAGTCGCCAGGGCTGTTGATGCAGGCCTAACATCTCAGTTGTGTTGTGTTTAGTTTTTTTGTTTTTTGGTCGCTTTGCTTGAATCTTGACTTGGTTTGCTAGGCTCACAAATTGATGTGTGGTGTTTTAGTCTGCAATTAAGGCATCTTTCTTTTGAGCAGCATTGGTGTTTTGTGAAGCCTGAGCATGGGCAAACATTTCTTTTTTTTGACTCAGTATCTTTTTTTGTCAACAAGACCAAAGTGTACAATAAGTAACTGATTACTTAGAATCTGTGACATAGCACACAGTGACTGACATCTATAGATGTTTATGACAGAGATCTTATTTATTTTGAAGATCCTTTAAAATTATTCAAAGTCTTCTCTTTTAAACCAGTAACATGGATTATTGTCTGTAGGCATCAGCATGTGATCTAATACACATCTTCTAAATTATTCTTGTAAATGATTATAAATGATCATTGTAAAATTAGTTGCTATAATTTTTGTTCACCGATCATTTTATCTGATTTACTTAAATCACCACTAACCTTTTCTCTTTACAGTTCCCAATCGCAAGGGGGTAAATGGACATTGCACTCTCAGAGCTTTTGTTGTTAAAATCAATAAGTGTCAGGCCTTCAACTTCTTGGTCTTTGACTGAAATAAACAAATTCAGACACCTCTACTTAATCTGGCAGGGATTATACTTTCGTACTCAAGACTAACCACCCTAAGAAAATGTACTAAAATGAGAACACACCTCCAAGTGGGCGTCCATCAAGTTCAATGTTAAACTCTTCATCTTCAGAGTCACATGAATAGAGGCACTGCTTCCTCATCATCTAGACAAGAACAGAATTTAGATGCACATTCTAAGCATCAAAATCTGCATCCTTGACCCTGGCAATTTTTAATGTTTTCTGTACTGCAGAGAGGACTAATTTCTTCAATGCTTTTATCTTTTTTTGTTAGCAGTACAGGTTTCTCTCCAGTTCTTTACAGAAAAGAAAGAAAACATGTTCTTAATCAACTGTCACTTTTTAAATGTTAAAAAGAGATTGATATCAGTTATATTCAGCAATAGATTTGAAAACTACCCATAAAGAGAAGTCTTAATAATTGCATTATGCATGGTGTTCAGACTTCCAAGCCACAAAGCTGAATGAACAAATTTAAGTCCCCCCTCAGCACGAATCCATTGAAAACTGAATACTTTAGCTAAGGTGTAAGATGTAATTGTACTCACAAAAATCAATATGCTGTATGTCTAACCAAGATGCACACAATCATCCTCAAATAATGATTCCTAATGAAATTTGAAATAGAGCACTTAAGATTTTTTCAAAGACAATTACAAAATAAAAGGGTTGTAAGCATGGTCTGACCAAGCTTCTTTTTGTCAAAAACACACTGCAAGTGTCCTGCAAAGCATGCATGTACCAGATTGAGTGTTGTTGTTGTTTAAGCTCCAAACAAGAGTCCCACAGATTCTGCACAGCAAACTTTTTTGAACTTGACTCAACTAGTGAAGACTGGGGTGAGTCACTAACCACCTAACATAGGGTTTCCTTTACAGGTTTGAAAAAGATGACATACTTTGTCCTGTAACACCTCTTATTTATAAATTACATTAGTTGCCGATTAAATATAGAATTGATTTTAAAACACTTTTAATTACTTTTAAGATTCTTAACTTTTTAGCGCCTACTTATCTATCATCTCTCATTTCTCTTAGGCTCCCATCTAAATATAATCTAAGGAATTCTAGCGATAACCTTTTACTTAGTTATCTGCGTTTTAAATCTAAAGCTACACTACGTGATCGTTCTTTTACCTGTGCTGCGCCTAACCTGTGGAATGCGTTACCATTGAACATAACAAGCGCCAGCACAGTTAGTATTCTTAAAGCCAAGCTAAAAACTCACCTCTTCCATCATGCATTGTTATCATAGTTTTTATCATTGTGAGTTACCTTTTAATTGTAATTTTATCTTTTAAAATTATTGTAAGTTTACTCTTCATTGTAATTTTAACTTTTTAGCCTTTTTATTTTGTTTGTAATCTTGTCATATGCATTTGAATATTTCTTACCAGATTAGCTTACCATAAATGCATATTTTTCTACGGCTTCTGGGCATTTGCAGGCAATACTAAGTGCTCTTACAAGCAGTAAATTTTATGGGTTACCACCTGATAAGGAGAACCCTGCATCAGCCTGTGTCTGAGACTTGTAGGACATTAATTCTGACACAATATTTTCTAGGTTCAGCACCTGCTCCTTGAATTGTTGCATGGCATTGCCATTGGAAACTGTCCAAATGGCAGCATCTGCTGACTCCCCCTGTACATGTACAGGCACAGACTGAATGCTGGCATCTCTTGTCTTAGCTTTAGGCAGGTCTTGAAGGTTTTTCTGCTCTTGCTGCTGTTTAAGACGGACCTGTTGTTCTTCTTGCTCTGCTAGGTATGTGTGTAGCATCTTAACCTATGCAAAGGATACGAAAACTCATGGTGAGGTTCCTACCAGTTGAAATGGGTAAGGTTTCACTAAGGAAAGGGGTTGTTCTTATAGTATTCACATGAATGCTACAGGAAAATTCTGGCAACTTACCTCTTTCTCATTCTTTGCTGTGTTAGCTCTTTTCTTGCTTTGGTCTGGATGACCTTTTCCACTTTCACTCTTGTGGTCCATCAGAAACAGGTGGCATTCGCAGGACTCTTGACAAAAGATTTCTCCCTGCTTAGGTTTTCTTTGAAATCTACAATAGCTTAAAGTAAATAAGTTCATGGGGCGAAGCAAAGTTGGAGATGTGATGATCTATTAAATAATTTTAACAAAGGTGAAGACAAAGAATGGAAAATTACTTACCATCTGCAGCAAGCACCATGGCATCTAGGAGTTTACTACTGCATTTAACAGTTACCTGGTCTCCTATTCAAACACTATCTGCAGTCTTGTAGCCTCAGTTTTTTGGTTTCAACAATAGAGGTTGTGTTATCAATACTGTAGTAAACGAGGCACAGCTTAGGAGTTTTTCTAAGGAGGTGTAAAGCCATGTTAAAGCTACCTTTCTTTCTGATCAGATTGTCATACTTAAAGTGATGTCTTCACCTGCTCAAGCTTAGACAGCTTCTGAAACAAAAGACAGATGAAAAAGTGGCAAAAGAAAATCTACATAAATACCATTACTTGACAATTATTTTTTTTAACATATGTTTTGCATGTGTGCCCCTGACAATAGGTGTGAAAAAGCAGAAGGGTTGACAACTCCATCAGACAACAGCATTTCTAAATCCTTGTCACACTAAATTTTCTCCGAACTGGTGATTGGACTGCTCAATCACTTTAGCAGACTTTTTTAAAAATAACTATGATCTGCAAAGCATTTATTTGTAAAGAGGTGTGAAGCCACATGACTTTTCGCAGGTAATAATGAGAAAGAAAGGGAATTTCCTTTCTTGGGCACAGCATGGTATAAATATTATTGATATTGATAGAGTTCTCAATCCAAAGTTTCCTTTACGCCCATTTTTCCTTTTCTCTCTGTTAATATTATTGAAGTTCAGGTATTGAGGGAAAACTACTACAAAGTAACAAATTGATAAAACTAATTTCTGTTTTTTTTGTATTTTAAAGATCAAGAAGTTAAGTACAGTTCTCCAAGATAATGCCTAATAATTTTATCATCAATATTAATTTACAATATCAGTAAAGGTTGCAGTTGCAAGTATCAATAAATATTCCAAGATATTGTCCAACAATCCCAGTATTACTATTAATTTAAAAGATCAGTGAAGGCTCAAGTTGAAAGTAAGAAAAAGTGTCTGTATGATAAATAGCTTTGTACTTCTTTATGATAAAATTCTTCGCAGATCTCAGTTCTCTAAAAAAAAATCTACCAACACATCACCATTCCAAAATGTGTCTCATTTGAAAATTGTTCTTTCCTGCTGTTCTTTCCATCTGTCCTCCTCTTAAGCACACGTAAAGCGTATTAATACGATTATTACAACATAAACAAAAACAAATTCATAGGAGAAACGTGCTGCTGAGTGGGTTTTGTCGAGTAGGCATGGTTTAATCAAAGATATCCCATATCTGCCCCTGTGATAAAGAGTTCTTTGAGATGAAGGGTCATATTGCCTCTCGTGTCGCAAAACCAAATTGGCCATCTGCTGTCAGTGAAGTTGTTCAAAACCTCCTGTGTTTCTACCTTGATTAACAGATTGGTGCTTTTAACAACATTAAATTTGTTTTCTTCCATAACTGGAAACCTCAAGTTGTCTATGATGTCATCTCCAAGGATCTGACTGCATTCCATTGTAGCGTCAAGCCTTAGCTTTTTACATTGGTTTGCCGCCCACTTATTGATGGCAGTGAACAATTCAATTTCCTCGATGTTCATTGTGTTCCTTTTACCAATTCAATCAAGTCTGATCGGTCCATTTTCAAAAGAACACGCTTGATTCCAAAACATCTTTGGCTTCTTTTTTTCTGTAAATTTCCAACAAGAACGCCAGACAGACTTATTTTCAATTAACTTGGAGTGTTTCAAGACACAAAAGATGTTACTTGAATCCAGATGCTCGTGCAAGAATAAAAATGCAGCGGTTGGTCAGCGAGAGAATCATGTATTTCTCTTCCAAATAGAGTAACTGCAAAATTGAAGCTAACTTCCTTGGTGTAAATGTATCACAGGAACTCCATCATCCCTTGATAGTCACAATCAAGGTGATCTATATAATCATTTCTCTCTGCCAATATGCCACAAAACATCACGTAGAAAACCGGGCCTGCAATCGCCAACAAAAACCTATGCGCGGAATTACCATCTTGGACATATCAGTTGTACCCCATGCAGGGACAAGGGAACCACAAATTTAACATCGCTCAACTTGTCGTTACTTAATAGAGATTTAGCTCGTTCTGGGCTGGTACTGGCTGTCCTAAACATCGCTAAACATTTTCTACAGTTTTTGGCAGCCCCACTGGAAATTAGTCTCCTGTTCTTCACAAGTAACACGCCCTTTCACGCGGATCCCTAGATCCCTAGATCCTAGACTCTCTCTTTTGTTATGTAATCAAAATGGCAACCTGGCTTTGTGGCAAAACTCGTTGGAGCTGAAAGGTCCGAGCTGGGGTAAGTTTCATAAATGAATTTTGTTTAACTGAATTCAGGTATGGCTGAAGTTATGGTGATATTTGCATAGCCTCCCTTTTGCTTGTTTTTGGCACATTTTGGAAAGTAACAACTTACAATCTTAAGCTCAATTCCTAAATCAGCCTAAATTCATGAAGATTTAAACTTATACCATTGTCAATGCAAGCATGGCAGCTGAAACATGCATGCTTCAAATATCTGGTTTAAAAAATCAGAAATGGTGTTAGTTTCATTTCTTCAGTTCATATCTAGTTTATTTCATATATATATATTATTCACAAAATATGTCAGATATCAGCAATTTTGTTTTATTTAGACTGAAAAACTTGAAACTTAGCCCTCCTCCAGATTCTGGTGGGTGTACAGGTGCGGATCTCCAAGATCCTCCTCTGTATGTGCATTTCTCTCATATGTTCTCTTTGTTCTGTAGAGATTGTTTACTCTGGCATAAATTTTCCTGTTTTCTTTTTCCATAACTTGCTTTGTGCAGCTGGATTTCTTCTGTGTTCCTTGGTGGAACATTCTTGATTGTTGGTGGTTTTTCTTTTCCACTGGCTGACAATTGAAAATGGAAAGCCCTCCACTTTTCTCGAGGAACTGAGGGACGTGATAGACTAGAGCTGGAGCAAAACAAATCAGGGTTTAATAAGTTCTTTTATAATTACTGTTAGGATTGGAAATCATTGAAATTACCACAACAGAGAAATTGATCTTACCATGTATGTATGGAGTCAGATCCTAAAAGGAAAAATTTGGAGAAAAATAATAATGATAAGTACCTTGTTTTCAATTTAGTGGTTTCAGTGTTATTATATCATAGATTAACTTAAGGAGTTCACTTTCTCAAATCATGGCCAAGGAAAAGACCCGGACTAATCACATTGATTTAGTTTGATAGGCGTGTTTGAGTTCAATAATAAAATTATTGAACTCACTGAAAAGCTCCAGTTCGATTATGTTTGATTGAACAGCAATCTAACGATTGGATTCCACTGAGTTCGATGGATTTTTGGCTGGGTTTCCTTTAATTGTCTATGCTGGGAAAAGACCAATGTTGAATTATATTGCCAAGAATTTCAACTCTACGTTTTTATTTTATCTCAATATAAGCAATACTTGCAAAGAACACAGTTACCTCGTCATGGTGTACCTCTCAAAAGAATCTTGCCCATTTCCTTGCATGGTCCTTGAACTGTTCCGGTGTTTTGTAGCTTTCTTGGCCTGGTTCTGAGTCCTGTACTTCCACCAGATCACTGAAACCCTATTTTATCAATAAAGATAGCGAGTATGCAGATGAGTATATTTTAATATAATTTATTGTAGTCATGTCCCTTAGATATTGACTAAAATTTAACTCAAGGATCTGAGTGACCAGATTAACACAAGAAAATGTTTACCTTCCATAATTTCTTCACTTCTCTGTTTGTCCTTCTTTGATGACTTGTCCCTCAAAGATTGGTTTATGATTCAGTTTGTTTAGGATTGCTCGGAGGTCTTTTCCTGAGATAATATATTGATGTTATTATTATTATCTTCATTGTTATCAGTATTAGTTATTGCTTGCCATTGCACTGTGATACGTAAAGTAATGCAAATAACTCCAATACATGAAAATCTTGAAGTTAAGTTAAACTTTATTTGTGTCTATAGAGACAACTGATAACTTAGCAATGAGCATTCCTACCATCCAGTCTAGTCCACTGTGTTTGAGGTGACCCATCCTCATACTGTACTTGGAAAAACTTAAATGGGACACCAATGTTTTCTAGCTCCTTCTCTAGAATATCCATCCTCTTTTTTGTTGATTACAAACTCGTTTACCTGTAATGCAGATTTAGAGATACAGTATACGTAACTGGTTTTTTGCTTGTTTTAGGTTTTGTTTGGTTTTATGCAGTTTAATGTTAACTGTATGGCCTTTTTCTACTACTACTACTCTATTGTCCATAAAATAATCTTAAAAACGTCTAAGACAAATCTGACGATTCACCAGAGATGAAGGTCTTCTGAGTAATTTTCTCGTGAGTGCCGAGGACCTTACTCAATTAAGTCATTAGCATTAATGTTCCAATGTGTATTTACTTGGTGGAAGAGAAGCCCCATGATCCTAAGAAAAATATGAAGAGTGTCGACAATAACTTGTGTGAATGGAATTGAGGTTAATGACTCATGAATTGAGCCTTCCTTCCATCAGTGGTTTTTTTCTGCACTGTTCTTCATACATTGCTGAAGATTCCTCTCAATTGGCCAGTCTTGTACTAAAAGAAAATTACAAAACAGAATGTTGATCAGGAAAATGCCAAATAAACATTGCATTTTGTATTTATAGGCACACTTTTAAGTAATGCCATATTCTATCACCTGTCATATTTATGTTTTCTAACTTGTAAACATCCTCAAACTGATGATGGATACCCTGTATCCGAAACATGTCTATTTATCATGGCAATGTTAGTGTGTGAGATGGTAGTTGGACAAAATATTGCTTACAAAATTTATCTTTTAAAACAATCGAGTATATTAGATGCAGACTTACTTGAGAAATCACAAATTTTTCCTTTTGTGCAGTAGCACCACATGCAAAAAAATATTTTCCAGTGGCAGCATTTAGTCCATAGGCCATGGCGAGAAATTTCCAGTCTGAGCAGCAGTACCTTAGGAAAATAAAATGAAAAATGCCTCATTGAGTAAACCATTTCCTGTTTCAAGTTGAATGGATTCTAATTCACAGTGCACCTATTATCTACTCAGACATATAAGTTATGTTCGTAGCTAGAATATTTACATAATCTCTAGCAATTCATTAAAGAAACAATTTGTTTTTTGACATTAAATAATTTATTTACCATATCACTTTGTAGTGTATTCCGTCCACCTCAATACCATTTTGTTGAAGGTCATCAAATCCTAAATCAAATCCTAAAATTGCATAAGATACTATATTAAACGTAACTTTTGAATGAGGAAGAATGTTGAATTTTTGTAAAATTCAGTAATCCAAAAAAAGTGAGTAACTTACGTATTAATAAAACGAAAAAGATTTCCTTAGTGCGCGCGAGGTACTAACGCAACAATCCGA